TCAATGGCACCCAGTGTGGCTACTGCTCACCGGGATTCGTGATGAACATGTACGGGTTGCTGGAGGCTCAGGCGGGTCAAGTTACTATGAGTGAGGTGGAGGATGCATTTGGGGGCAACATCTGCCGCTGCACCGGCTACCGACCCATACTGGATGCCATGAAGTCCTTTGCAGTGGACAGCAATATTGAAGTGCCAGCGGAGTGTCTGGATATAGAGGACTCCTTTGAGCTGCTCTGCCCACGCACCGGTCAATGCTGCAGCGGCAGTTGCTCCCGCCTCTCGCTGCCAGCCCAGAACAACAGCCATTGGCATTGGCCCAAGACACTAGGAGAGTTGTTCCAGGCACTCGCCCAGGTGCCCACTGGAGAAGATTACATTATGGTGGCAGGCAACACGGCGCATGGCGTGTATAGGCGGGCAAGGAGTGTACGACACTTTATTGATGTCAACATGGTGCCCGATCTGAAGCAGCACAGCATCGATACAGATGAAATGCTGCTGGGTGCCAATCTGACCCTCACGGATGCGATGCAGATCTTTCGACAGGCCCAGCAGCGGAACGGCTTCGAGTACTGCGCACAATTGTGGCAGCATTTTAACCTGATCGCCAATGTGCCGGTGCGGAATGTAAGTAATGGCTACAAATTAAAACGTGTTTAAGACTTGCTTTTGCCTAATTAAATTTTAAATTAGAATACAAACTTCCAATTCTATTGAAAGGCAAGAACAGCTTTCGATATATATAATATAGAAGTAAAATAGTAGCCTATATAATTCCGAAATTGCTGGATTATAAACTGTCTACTGTCTAATTTTCCAATTGCAGAACGGAACACTGGCGGGAAATATATCAATGAAGAAGAAGCATCCAGAGTTTTCCTCGGATGTTTTCATCACATTTGAGGCACTGGATGTGCAGGTCCTGGTGTACGAGAATGCGAATCATCAGCGAGTGATGAGCCTGTTGGATTATCTGCAGGATACCACATCAAAGCTAGTCATTGGTGCGTTTGTACTAAGGTCCTATCCCAAGCAAAAATACTTGTTCAACTCCTACAAGGTGAGTTTAAGAATCGAATTATTAATATTTTATTTATCGTTTTTGTTTTAAGTAGATCCTCTCGCGGGCTCAGAATGTTCACGCCTATGTCAACGCTGGTTTCCTCATCGAGTGGCAGAACTCCCAGCATCGCATAGTGGCCTCAGCTCGCCTTTGCTTTGGCAACATTCGACCTGGCTATGTGCATGCCCAGATTGTCGAGCAGTTGCTAGAGGGTCGTGATCTGTACGACAATGCGACAGTATCGCAAGTCTTTGAGCAGCTGCTGACCAGCCTGCAGCCTGTGGAAATGCAGGCAGAGGCATCGCCAAAGTATCGCCAGAAACTGGCCTGCTCACTCTTCTATAAGTTTTTGCTCGGCTCGGCGCCCCAGGAGCTTATTCATCAGAGTTTTCGCAGCGGCGGTAAGCTGTTGGAGCGACCAATATCCTCGGGTAGTCAAACCTTTGAGACTATTCCCAAAAAGTATCCGGTGTCCCAGGCCGTGGAGAAGCTAGAGGGTATATATCTATATATCTAATCCACCTATTTATTATGGGAATTAATCTAATTCCTTCCTTTCATAATAGGCCTCATTCAGTGCTCTGGGGAGGCCAAATATATGAATGATCTGGCTACCAATTCCAATACTGTATACTGCGCCTTCGTGACGGCAAAGAGAGTGGGTGCCACAATTGAAGAGCTCGATGCAAGAGCCGCCTTGCAGTGCAAGGGCGTGGTTGCCATCTTTGACCTCAAGGACATTCCCGGGGACAATAATTTCAACAACACCTCATTATTTACAGCTCCAACTGAAATCGAGGAGATCTTTTGTGCTGGACGTGTAAGGTACTATGACCAGCCACTGGGCGTAATCGCTGCTGTGGATCACGACGTGGCTGTCTATGCGGCGACTCTGGTGCAGGTGACCTATGCCAAAGACCAGGTGAAGATCTACACAAGCATGAGCGCCGTACTGGCTGAGAAGGAGATGGAGAAGGATCGACTTGTGTCTTGTACCAGCAATTGTGAAGAAGTCTCCAATCCTCTGCTGGAGCCAGGCGATGTTCTGGGGCGTGGTATTCTTGAGTTAGAGCCTCAGTACCACTTCACCTTGGAACCACAAACCACTGTGGTTGTTCCTGTTGAGGAAGGACTCCAAGTTTGGTGTGCCACCCAGTGGATGGACGTCACCCAAGCCAGCATTGCCCGTATGCTTAAGATAGAGGCAAATACAGTGCAGTTACAAGTTCGACGGGTTGGCGGGGCCTATGGAGCGAAGGTAACGCGGGGTAATCAGGTGGCCTGTGCCTGTGCACTGGTTGCACACAAACTGAATCGACCTGCACGTTTTGTTCAAACTATCGAGTCAATGATGGAATGCAATGGCAAGCGCTATGCGTGTCGCTCTGACTATGAGTTCCAGGCGAAGGCCAATGGCTTCATACGAATGTTAAGCAATAACTTCTATGAGGATGCGGGTTGCACGCTCAACGAAAATGTGGTTGACTTAATCACCGTGCCAGCATTACAAAATGTCTACAATCTGACCAACTTGAATTTAAAAATTAATGGTACAGCCGTGATAACAGACGCACCAAGCTCCACATGGTGTCGGGCGCCAGGTACAGCAGAAGGTAAGTCAAATGCCAAATGTAATCAAGCATCAAAGCTGATTCCCATCTCTTTCTCTGCACAGCCATTGCCATGACGGAGACGGCCCTGGAGCATATTGCATTTGCTTGCAAACTGGATCCGGCGGATGCACGGCTCGTCAACTTGCGTCCCGGCACTAAAATGGTACAGCTGTTACCCAGATTCCTTGCGTCCACGGAGTACCGAAAGCGACGGGAAGAGATCAACTTGTTCAATTCCCAGAATCGTTATCGCAAGCGTGGATTGGGCCTGGCCTTAATGGAGTTTCGGCTAGACTTAAGCATTGCATTATGCTTCCCCTCCACTGTTGCCATTTACCATGCCGATGGATCTGTGGTCATTTCGCATGGTGGTATTGAGATCGGACAGGGCTTGAACACAAAAGTGGCCCAGGTTGCTGCCTTCGTGCTGGGCGTGCCATTGGAGCGAGTACGTGTGGAGAGCAGCAATACGGTCAACGGAGCCAATTCTTTTTTCACAGCCAGCTCCATGGCCAGTGAATTGGTTGGTGTTGCTGTTCGTAAGGCCTGCGTCTCGCTTAATGAGCGTCTGGAGCCCGTTAAGCGCAGTCTGGGAGCTCAGGCCAGTTGGCAGCAAGTGGTGGAGACGGCTTTCACCCAATCTATCAGTTTGATTGCAACCGAGTCGTTTAAAAGAGGCGATCAGAGCAACTACAGCATCTTTGGCTTGAGTCTAAGTGAACTGGAGCTGGACATACTGACTGGTAATCACCTGATACGCCGTGTCGACATACTCGAGGATGCAGGTGAGAGTCTCAGTCCCAGCATTGACGTCGGTCAGGTCGAGGGTGCCTTTGTGATGGGTTTGGGTTACTATCTAACTGAGCAACTGCTCTACGACCGCCAGACGGGTCGCCTACTCACGAATCGCACCTGGAACTATCATCCACCGGGTGCAAAGGATATACCCATTGATTTCCGCATCGAACTGCTGCAAAAAAGTCCCAATCCCGTTGGTTTTCTCCGCTCCAAGGCCACCGGTGAACCCGCTCTCTGTCTGGCTGTGGGAGTTCTCTTTGCCATGCAGCATGCCATACAATCCGCCAGGCAGGATGCCGGACTTCCGAGAGAGTGGGTACGTTTGGGTGCACCCACCACACCAGAGACAGTGGTGCTATCCACTGGAAACGTAGTTGAACAGTTTTCACTTTAACAAATTAAGTATATTTTTTCAATTTACCGTAGTTGTAAACATTATCATTACGGTTTTGCCTTGAATGTTTTATTTTATTTAATAATGGAAATGGAATTGATTCGAGATAAAGTTGAAATCTAATTGCGCCTTCTGATGGTAAAGATTACATACACGTATGTGCAATATTTAATTTGTACAGTTGATCAGAAGCAAGCCAGCGTATATTATGTAGGGTTTGCTCTGAAAATGATAGCTTTTATTGCTATCGAATATCTGTGTGTATCGATATTTGCGGAGCAGGAGCAATTGTCAATCAAATAAAATCAACTTCAAATGCACGTGGTATACAAGAACTTACATGGGAATGTGATTTTAAATCTAGTTCTTTCACCACTCTTGAATTCAAAAACCCGAATTTAAATTAAAAGAATTTTACAAATACACATATTTATATGTATATACATATACATAGACGCATTCTTCGGGGTACACACAACCGAAAATATTTAATTTAGCAAATAAAAGCAAGGAATTCGAGTAAGAATAGCGGTTCATTTCTATTGTCGGGAGGGAAATTCTGTCGTTCGAAATCGTTTGCTTTGCAGGTTGTTGTACAGGATTTCAATGCACCATTGACATCAATTGGGTGGCTGAATTTGCTAAATTGCTTTTAGGGCCCCAACCCCATGGCAACAAATTAAAAAGATGTATTAAAGTACTTCATTTATTCTTACTTGATATAAGGCTCCGATAAATTTATTTTTATTTAATATTTATTTGATGACATAAAAATGTATATATGTGTATAATAAATTTATTCCTGAGTCCGTTTGCAGATAGTTTCCTGCTACAGAAAGATAAGCGGTTAATTTCTATTGTCGGGAGGGAAATTCTGTCGTTCGAACTCGTTTGCTTTGCAGGTTGTTGTACATGATTTCAATGCACCATTGACATTAATTGGGTGGCTGAATTTGCTAAATTGCTTTTAGGGCCCCAACCCCGTGGCAAAAAATTAAAAAGATGAATTAAAGTACTTCATTTATTCTTACTTGATATAAGGCTCCGATACATTTATTTTATTTAATAAAGAACATATGTTTTTGTTGACATACAAATGTAAATATGTGGAAAATAAATTAATTGCTGAGTCCATTTGCAGATAGATTTCTGCTACAAGCAGATTTCAACTTTATCTCGAATCATTTCCATTTCCATTATTAAATAAAATAAAACATTCAAGGCAAAACCGTAATGATAATGTTTACAACTACGGTAAATTGAAAAAATATACTTAATTTGTTAAAGTGAAAACTGTTCAACTACGTTTCCAGTGGATAGCACCACTGTCTCTGGTGTGGTGGGTGCACCCAAACGTACCCACTCTCTCGGAAGTCCGGCATCCTGCCTGGCGGATTGTATGGCATGCTGCATGGCAAAGAGAACTCCCACAGCCAGACAGAGAGCGGGTTCACCGGTGGCCTTGGAGCGGAGAAAACCAACGGGATTGGGACTTTTTTGCAGCAGTTCGATGCGGAAATCAATGGGTATATCCTTTGCACCCGGTGGATGATAGTTCCAGGTGCGATTCGTGAGTAGGCGACCCGTCTGGCGGTCGTAGAGCAGCTGCTCGGTTAGATAGTAACCCAAACCCATCACAAAAGCACCCTCGACCTGACCGACGTCAATGCTGGGACTGAGACTCTCACCCGCATCCTCGAGTATGTCGACACGGCGTATCAGGTGATTACCAGTCAGTATGTCCAGCTCCAGTTCACTTAGACTCAAGCCAAAGATGCTGTAGTTGCTCTGATCGCCTCTTTTAAACGACTCGGTTGCAATCAAACTGATAGATTGGGTGAAAGCCATCTCCACCACTTGCTGCCAACTAGCCTTAGCCCCCAAACTGCGCTTAACGGGCTCCAGACGCTGATTTAGCTTGACGCAGGCTTTGCGAACAGCAATGCCAACCATTTCACTGGCCATGGAGTTGGCTGTGAGAAAAGAATTGGCTCCGTTGACCGTATTGCTGCTCTCCACACGTACTCGCTCCAATGGTACGCCCAGCACGAAGGCAGCAACCTGGGCCACCTTTGTGTTCAGGCCCTGCCCGATCTCAATGCCACCATGCGAAATGACCACAGATCCATCGGCATGGTAAATGGCCACAGTCGAGGGGTAACATAATGCAATGCTTGTATTTAAGGGGAATTCCATTAATGCTAGGCCCAATCCACGTTTGCGCCAACGATTCTGGGAATTGAACAAGTTGATCTCTTCCCGTCGCTTTCGGTACTCCGTGGACGCTAGGAATCGAGGCAACAACTTTGCCATTTTATTGCCAGGACGCAAGTTGACAAGTCGGACATCCGCCGGATCCAGTTTGCAGACAAAGGCAATGTGCTCCAGAGCCGTCTCCGTCATGGCAATGGCTGTGTGGAGATAGATATGGGAATCAGTTTTGATGCTTGATTATATTTGACATTTGACTTACCCTCTGCTGTACCTGGCGCCCGACACCATGTGGAGCTTGGCGCGTCTGTTATCACGGCTGTACCTTTTATTTTGAAGTTCAAGCTGGTCAGATTGTAAACATTTTTGAGAGCAGGCGTGGTGAGAAACTCAACCACACTTTCGTTGAGCGTGCAACCTGCATCCTCATAGAAGTTATTGCTTAACATTCGTATGAAGCCATTGGCCTTCGCCTGGAACTCATAGTCAGAGCGACACGCATACCGCTTGCCATTGCATTCCATCATTGACTCGATAGTTTGAACAAAACGTGCAGGTCGATTCAATTTGTGAGCAACCAGTGCACAGGCACAGGCCACCTGATTACCCCGCGTTACCTTCGCTCCATAGGCCCCGCCAACCCGTCGAACTTGTAACTGCACTGTATTTGCCTCTATCTTAAGCATACGGGCAATGCTGGCTTGGGTGACGTCCATCCACTGGGTGGCACACCAAACTTGGAGTCCTTCCTCAACAGGAACAACCACAGTGGTTTGTGGTTCCAAGGTGAAGTGGTACTGAGGCTCTAACTCAAGAATACCACGCCCCAGAACATCGCCTGGCTCCAGCAGAGGATTGGAGACTTCCTCACAATTGCTGGTACAAGCCACAAGTCGATCCTTCTCCATCTCCTTCTCAGCCAGTATGGCGCTCATGCTTGTATAGATCTTCACCTGGTCTTTAGCATAGGTCACCTGCACCAGAGTCGCCGCATAGACAGCCACATCGTGATCCACAGCAGCGATTACGCCCAGTGGCTGGTCATAGTACCTTATACGTCCAGCACAAAAGATCTCCTCGATTTCCCCTGGGACTGTAAGCAATGTGGTGTTGTTGAAATTATTGTCCCCGGGAATGTCCTTGAGGTCAAAGAAGGCAACCACGCCCTTGTACTGCAAGGCGGCTCTTGCATCGAGCTCTTCAATTGTGGCACCCACTCTCTTTGCCGTCACGAAGGCGCAGTATACAGTATTGGAGGTGGTAGCCAGATCATTCATATATTTGGCCTCCCCAGAGCACTGAATGAGGCCTATTATGAAAGGAAGGAATTAGATTAATTCCCATAATAAATAGGTGGATTAGATATATAGATATATACCCTCTAGCTTCTCCACGGCCTGGGACACCGGATACTTTTTGGGAATAGTCTCAAAGGTTTGACTACCCGAGGATATTGGTCGCTCCAACAGCTTACCGCCGCTGCGAAAACTCTGATGAATAAGCTCCTGGGGCGCCGAGCCGAGCAAAAACTTATAGAAGAGTGAGCAGGCCAGTTTCTGGCGATACTCTGGCGATGCCTCTGCCTGCATTTCCACTGGCTGCAGGCTGGTCAGCAGCTGCTCAAAGACTTGCGATACTGTCGCATTGTCGTACAGATCACGACCCTCTAGCAACTGCTCGACAATCTGGGCATGCACATAGCCAGGTCGAATGTTGCCAAAGCAAAGGCGAGCTGAGGCCACTATGCGATGCTGGGAGTTCTGCCACTCGATGAGGAAACCAGCGTTGACATAGGCGTGAACATTCTGAGCCCGCGAGAGGATCTACTTAAAACAAAAACGATAAATAAAATATTAATAATTCGATTCTTAAACTCACCTTGTAGGAGTTGAACAAGTATTTTTGCTTGGGATAGGACCTTAGTACAAACGCACCAATGACGAGCTTTGATGTGGTATCTTGCAGATAATCCAACAGGCTCATCACTCGCTGATGACTCGCATTCTCGTACACCAGGACCTGCACATCCAGTGCCTCAAATGTGATGAAAACATCCGAGGAAAACTCTGGATGCTTCTTCTTCATTGATATATTTCCCGCCAGTGTTCCGTTCTGCAATTGGAAAATCAGACAGTAGACAGTTTATAATCCAGCAATTTCGGAATTATATAGGCTAAATACTTAAATTTATAAGTGTGCTATTATTTTACTTCTATATTATATATGTATATCGAAAGCTGTTCTTGCCTTTCAATAGAATATGAAGTTTGTATCCTAATTTAAAATTTAATTAGGCAAAAGCAAGTCTTAAACACGTTTTAATTTGTAGCCATTACTTACATTCCGCACCGGCACATTGGCGATCAGGTTAAAATGCTGCCACAATTGTGCGCAGTACTCGAAGCCGTTCCGCTGCTGGGCCTGTCGAAAGATCTGCATCGCATCCGTGAGGGTCAGATTGGCACCCAGCAGCATTTCATCTGTATCGATGCTGTGCTGCTTCAGATCGGGCACCATGTTGACATCAATAAAGTGTCGTACACTCCTTGGCCGCCTATACACGCCATGCGCCGTGTTTCCTGCCACCAGAATGTAATCCTCTCCAGTGGGCACCTGGGCGAGTGCCTGGAACAACTCTCCTAGCGTCTTGGGCCAATGCCAATGGCTGTTGTTCTGGGCTGGCAGCGAGAGGCGGGAGCAACTGCCGCTGCAGCATTGACCGGTGCGTGGGCAGAGCAGCTCAAAGGAGTCCTCTATATCTAGACACTCCGCTGGCACTTCAATATTGCTGTCCACTGCAAAGGACTTCATGGCATCCAGTATGGGTCGGTAGCCGGTGCAGCGGCAGATGTTGCCCCCAAATGCATCCTCCACCTCACTCATAGTAACTTTACCCGCCTGAGCCTCCAGCAACCCGTACATGTTCATCACGAATCCCGGTGAGCAGTAGCCACACTGGGTGCCATTGAGCTTGGCCAGACGCTTCTGAATAGGATGATAGCCGCTGCTCTTGTTGCCCAGGCCCTCGTCGGTGACAATGTCCACATCGTTGCAACTGTTCAGCAGGGTAAGGCACTGGAAAGGAATCAATACATATGAATATGAGGCTACCTACGAATCCTTTTTTGGTCTATATTTGCTTGTTACCGAGTTGGCAGCTCGGGAATTAATTTCATTTGTGATGGGATGCCGACGTCGTATGACACAAATGCAGGAGCCACAGCCGCCCTCCAGGCACATGTACTTGGTGGCCGTCAGGTGGAGATGCTCCCTGAGAAATGTGTTCAACGTGATGTCTGGGGCGTAGTTAGCTGACTGCACCTCGTATGGAATTCCATTCACAGTGAACTTGATGCTCATCGTGGCGAAGCTGGCAGCCCAATAGCAAGGCTATGGTGATGCACTTGTATTTAAAGCACCTGCCAAAACCTGATAAGAGTTAATTAGGTTAAATGTAAACGGGTTCGCAGCGTTATATGCACATAGCTTTTACGACTGTTAAGCTAGCACTGCGCAAAAGGAAAGCAGCAATAAATTTAAATGCGCTTTGGACTTGCATAATACTTGAAAACAGATTTTCAGGTTCTGATTGGAGTTAGCGCAGTATTTTTACTCAGTTTGCAGTTGTTTTTTTTAATCAGTTGTATCATACTGAAATGGCAAACCAGAACGATATTGATGAGTTGAATATTTCAACTGACTATGCAGTCAAAGGAGAACTATAATAAATACGTTTTATTGAGCTGATAAGCCCGAAAAAGCTGCCGTTTATTAATTGGTACAAGTCATTTATATATGTATGTAGATTACATTACACAAAATTTAAAGTTAATCGAAAAATTACTACTTAACCTGTTATCTTCAGATACTGGTTTGCGAAGATGGTTTCTTAATTTAAGCCTCCGAACTGAAGACATTCTGTACACTCGACTCTACTTTAAAATATTCAATTATTGTGGAATGGGGATATATGTATATAGAATCGAGCCATATATTTTCCGAAATATGAGAAAAATAGATATTGTCGAAACTTCACAGTTGGCGAAAAGTCTCCTTTTTCTTATGATAAACATAAGGGGTTAACAATTCTTCTTTTGCATTTGGTAGGTAATTTTAAAAAATCATTTTTTGGGGACCCCAGTTATGCTAAAAAAATAAATGCTTCCACATAACAAAAATCGAAAACACGAAGTTTTTCAAATTTATGTTAGTGGCTACAGCAGATTTGTTCGGCGAATTTATTTATTTCATGAATTTAATTTGCTTTATAGGCAGAATTTTGTACGCCGATAAATAGAGTCGGTAAATTATCGATTGTTACAGATTGTGTCGAAAATCGAAACCGGAATCATTGGTCTACTGAACTGCTAGATCGCGATGTGAATTATTGCTTGCATTCAACTGCGGAATTTTATGAAGCTGTTCGTTGATTGAACTTGTTCGCATCGACTAGAAGAACTAAATTTTACTCATCTCTAACTTTTTCTCGCGACAGTCGGCATTTACCAGTATATTGATTATTAACATTGTGTAGTTTTAACTTTAATTTAATTACATAACAAACAAGATAAAATCACTGTCACAGTATAGATAAATTATAAGGTGAGTGCAATGCAAAACATTTAACATACAGTAAAATACTGCAATATTGCGCAGAAGGCGCGGGCGACGCCGCAAGTCGCCATTTTTTTTTTTGCATTAGGGCTGAGCAATGTGTTCTAGACTATTTAATTTTGTTTTTCAGAAGACAAAGACATGAACATGGACGCCAATACTGTTGAGAATCGGGAAAAGGAACGTGATCGCCGTGGACGTGGGGCACGCGGCTCACGTTTTTCTGATGCCGACGGTAACAATGGGAACGCCGCAGGTGGTGGAGGGGGTGGTGGTGGAGGTGGCGTTGGTGGCAATGCCGCACGAGACCGGAGCCGAGAAAGACGAAATTGTCGTGTGTATATCTCGAATATTCCGTACGATTATCGCTGGCAGGATTTGAAGGATTTATTCCGGCGCATCGTGGGCTCCATTGAGTATGTGCAGCTGTTCCACGATGAGAGCGGAAAGGCGCGCGGCTGCGGCATTGTGGAGTTCAAAGACCCGGAGAATGTGCAAAAGGCAATGGAAAAAATGAATCGCTACGAGCTAAACGGCCGTGAACTGGTCGTCAAGGAGGATCATGGCGAGCAGCGCGACCAATATGGCCGCATTGTACGCGATGGTGCCGGTGGCGGCGGCGGCGGAGGAGGCGGTGGTGGTGGTGGTGGCGGAGGCGGCGGCGGTGGTGGTGGTGGCGGCGGCAACGGTGGCGGCGGTGGCCGCGATCACATGGACGATCGGGATCGTGGTTTTTCGCGACGTGACGATGACAGAATGTGAGTATAGCATCTGCATATATAAATATCAAAAATCTATATTTTTCAATACTCTAAGCACTTTAGCATATCGCAATGGAAAATTATTTTTGTTGTGATCCCAGCACCAGTAGCAGCCGATTCTTTGTTAGTATTATCGAAAAACCAAAAAAAAAAAACCAAATCTTTTTGAGTTGAGAGTATTCAGCGCATCTTGAAGTTTACATATTCATATGAGGGATTAACATATGCTTGCTTCTCATCTCCCGATACAAGTGTATGTAGCAAACAAACTATGTGGTACGGGGCTCTCTGATCTTTTTACCTTGTACTCTACACTGTGCTGATATAACTTCACTTCGAAAAAAAAGAAGAAAAACAGTCTGGGCCTAATTCGTTTATTTGATGCGTTTGATCAACGGTCTGTGTTTTGTTTCGATGAGAAGAAGACTGCTACAACTGAAAAATATGTGGAGAATTTAAATGGCAACGTTTTCAGACTAGGCTTTTGTTTCATTGATTTTATTTTTTTTTTAATATGCAAGAAAAACTTTGACGCTTAGTAAAATTATGGTAGATTTATGTGAGAGGTCTTAGTTCTGAATTTAAGGTTAGTTCCTCCGAACTGAAACTGTAGCGAAACCTAATATTGCATTCAGAATTGGTTTGATATGTACATATCGTAATCTTTTGTGTTGGTAATTATGATGGAATTATTTACAGTGTATCCTACGTATCATAAGTTAGTGAGTGTCAAAAGGATTTAAGCTCGTTTCAAAGATTGGCTAAACTAGGAGACTATTTGATAAAAATGAAAAGAAATTCCTCAAGTTATCTGCTAAGTGTCATTTACTATCTAAATATTTATACAATTCTTAAGCCGTAAGGAGGTAGCTTGTTAATTTTTTGCTCTAATATAGGTCACACAATTATTAATAAAGTTTACGTGTTAATATTAATTAATTGAATAGTCACGGCGTTCTGGATTCAATCCATTTGTAGATGAATTTAATGATGATGCGTGCGCTCTTGGGATGCGGAGTATTTCTTGTGCTTTATCTCTTGCTTTTGTTATTTTTTCTCTCTGGATCTTTTGGCTTCTTTTTCTAGATCTGGGCGTAATAATTTTAACATGATGTCGAATGATTTTAATTCGTCGAATTACAATTTGTATGGGCTTTCTGCTTCGTTTTTGGAGAGTCTTGGCATAAGTGGACCTTTGCATAATAAGGTTTTTGTTGCTAATGTGAGTATATGTATATATAAAAATTCCAATATCTCTATTCTAACTACTGTATTGAACCAAACAACCAAAACAATTCCAATACCAATACCAAACCAAACCATTACTATACACAAGCATATATTCTAAATAATAGATATATGTTCTGTAGCCAGCCTGTGTGTTCTTCGCCCAAAATTATGCTTTAACGTCGTAAGTTGTTTTAGTCTACACATATTTTGATTTCGACATGGGCTCTGTTTCGTATTTATAACCCAACTTTAGAAACAACAACAGAATCTTAAGCATAGTGTTTTGATTTGTAAGATGCTGCGACTATATTATTTATCCTGACTCCTATTATATTTGGGGAAGTTGATATTGAAGATATATTCAATACTATAATGTATACATACTATGTACATAATTTTGGGTTTGTAATCTACATTTATATATATATATATATATATATATATATTACGGCGCATCTGTTATTGTATTAGCAGGTCTTCTTAAATAATATATATATTTATAGAATTGATTGTATTTCCTGTCCGATATTTGCTAGAAGGAAGAATAATGGAAATACCAATATTCGTTTTTTAATCTTAAATTTATTGATACATTTTGTCGACCTTACCAAGGAATCCGTCTGCCTCAATCGCAAACATCGCGAAGATCATGGGGTTTTTAAAATGTACTTTTTTAATTTTTTGATTCGGGATAAAATTTCAACTTGTGACAATCGATTAAATGGGACGAAATCTCGATTTACTTCTTATTAATCGAGCGACCCTTCTATATAAATAACTGTTGTTGCTGCATAGTGTTGTAAATGGTAATGCGATGAAAATAAAACTGAAGTTGGTTGTTCTCTGATTTTGTTTGTCGCCGAGAAACGAGTATGCTCCAAGAGGATTTAGATTCCTGCAGCTGGGTTATAAATATGAAACAGTCTGCTTCGCTTTTGGATTAGCCAACTGGGTCCCGGCGTGATTCAAAGGTTTCTTCAGACTTCGTTTGCTCCTAGTGGTGAAGTTGGCGCCCGGAGTCAGAGTCGACAGCTGTGTGGACAACGCTCGAACGAACCCATTCATCAGTGAGGCGTTAAGCCAAATCCTCGATTTAAATTACTAAAACTTTTCATTGCCTTTTATCTCAACAGCTGGACTACAAAGTGGACGGTAAGAAGCTCAAGCAGGTGTTCAAGTTGGCCGGTAAGGTGCAGAGCGTCGATCTATCATTGGACAAGGAGGGCAACAGTCGCGGTTTTGCTGTAGTCGAATACGATCATCCTGTGGAGGCAGTTCAGGCAATCTCCATGCTGGATCGCCAAATGCTCTATGATCGCCGCATGACGGTGCGTCTTGATCGCATACCCGATAAGGGTGAGGGTCTCAAGCTGCCCGAGGGTCTCGGCGGCGTTGGCATTGGTCTGGGCCCCAACGGTGAGCCGCTGAAGGATGTGGCTCACAATCTGCCCAATGGTGGCAATCAGAACGCTGCCTCTCAACTGCTCGGCAATGTGCAGAGTGCTCAGCAGTTGTCTGCTGTGACTGGCGGTCAGGTTGTCGGCGGTGGTGGCGCCAATGCCGGCAATCTGCTGAGCGGTCTTAGTGGTGTCATGTTTGGCAATAATTCATCCGTGCAACCCTCACCAGTGGCGCCGGTGCAGAAGCCGAGCATGGGTAACAACGCCGGCGGCGGCGGTGGCGGTATCAATCTAAACAACTTAAATCCCAGTAATTTGGCTGCTGTTGTCGGCAATTTAGGCAACCTGGGCGCAGCGCTGTCCAATCCGCTGCTTACCTCATCATTGAACACGCTCGGCCTTAATCTGGGCAACTCGGGTGGCAACGACGATGGCCTCGTCTCGGCAAGCAATGTTGGTCTGTCCAATAACTACAGCAGCGGCGGCGGCTATGGCGGTGCCGGCAACAACTACAACAGTGGCGGTAGCGCTGGCAGCGGTGGCGGTGGCGTCTCTGGTGGCAATGTTGGCTACAATTCGTATAACAGCAGCGCCGGCGGCGTTTCCAATGCTGGCAACAATCAGATCGATGGCAATGACTATGGCAATTCTGGCAATCAATTAGACATGTTTGGAGGCGGCAATGTGGGTGTCGGCGGTGGCAACGTTGGCGGCGGCGGTGGTGGTGCTGGTAATGTGGGTGGCACACGTAAATCGGACACGATCATCATTAAAAATGTACCACTGAGCTGCACATGGCAGACGCTGCGTGACAAATTCCGTGATGTCGGCGATGTCAAGTTTGCGGAGATACGTGGCAACGATCTGGGTGTGGTGCGCTTCTTCAAGGAGCGCGACGCGGAGCTGGCCATCGGTAAGATTAAATAAATAATGATTATGCAAAACTCATATAAAATATTATATTTGAACTCCTTTTCAGCTCTGATGGATGGTTCGCGTTTGGATGGTCGCACCATTAAAGTAACCTACTTTTAAGTCGTAGATCTTAAGAATTTTGAATTAACCGATTGAACCGATTTATAAAGAGAGACGACCAATTGCTTACCTTATCCCACGGCACAGGCAGCAGAGCAAAGGATCGGCTAGGCTGTCGTATAACGGTTTTAGTTTATAGTTTTATCACAAACATATAATTGTTTAATTTGTATACATACGTTTATATATTACACACACAACAAAAGGTATCATATAGAATTGACTTTCCAAAATCCAGAAGACGCAATTCATGTAATTTATAAGTGATTAAAGCCAATAAACATAATAAAAAAAAAAACACATTTAGTTTGTACAGTGAAATGTTAAAGTTCTTGAACGTTGCAGAAACCCGATTTACCCAACCAAAGATATAGGTTTAAAAATAACTTGCTGAATCAATTTTATACAACGCAAAGTTGTAACAGTGAATTTATTAAACAACCCACTAGTAGATCAGGATTTACATACAATTATTTATTTTCTCATAATAATACAAAATATGTATATTTTATGTACTAATCGGAATAAGAGCTAGTGGTAGGCTCAACCCAAGTGATGATGAAACACACGAAATTCAAATTCTTCGATATAGTATTGGTTGATTGTAGTAGTTAATAACTGTTGCTTAACGGCTAGACGCATATAAATGTGGTGGTTAATTGTTGGCTTAAATACAAGAGAGTCCGGGGGCTGATTGTGTGCGTGGGTGCTGGCTGAGGTTGAGTTGGATTTGTCTGCCAAATCTATTTTTCAGTGGCATCCGCAGCGGCCGCAGCCGGTGCCGGCTTGAAGCGCTCGAGACGTGCTCGCGCCTTCTCGGCCCAGGCGCCCTGGCTCTTGGCATCGGTTGCTGCTGTTGCTGGAGATGCTTCGGTCGCTGTGCCAAATCGTTCCTTGCGCTTTTGCAACCGCTCATCAACGAGGGTCTTGGGACTCTTTTCGGGCACCACACAACCAAAGCGTTCGGCCCGCCTCTTGAGTGCCTCCCTCTGTTGCTCATCCGTCTCCTTGTTGCCCTTGTTGGCTTTGATCGAAGCGCTCGACGAGCGGTTAACCGCTGGCGAAGCAGCTGCCGCCGGCGTTGCAACGGAAGCTGGCGCTTTCCCATCGAGCGCAATGCCAAACTTCTTGGCGCGCAGATCTAGTCGCTCTTGGATGCTCATCTCGCCCAACTTTTTGTCAGCACCAGCAGCTGTGGCGTCTTTTTTCTCGCCTGTAACACCGCCCACCACAATTGGTTTGTGCTTCGTTTGTTTTACATGCACATCGTCCTCCGAGGCGTCTTTCGTGGCAGCACCAGCTGCAGCATCGGGTGCGGCATTTTCTTTGGATGTCGTCGTCGTTGCTGTCGTCAGCGTCGTCGCCAATGGCTGCGAATTGTTTCGTTTCAGCACGATCTTTTTAGCTGGCTGCGATGCAGCATTTGTCTCCGGTTTCAAATCCGCTCCTGTTCCTGCTGTTAATGTTGTTGTTAGGTCTGGTGGTGTGGTTGCCATTGGCGTGCCAACGGGACTCTTTAGCAGCAAATCTTCGTGATCGTCGCCCAACAGTTTGTGCTCATCCTCGTCGGTCAGCGAGACATCGTCGTCAATCGCATCGGCAATGGCGCTTTCCTCCAGCGAAATATCGCCCTCGAGCAGCGCCGTTTGCAGACGGTCCTGTAATTCATTTTTATTGCCGTTCAATGGCAACCCACGTAGCTTGAGTTCGCGCTTTAAATCCGCCACCTGGATTGGGTATAACGTGGGTTGTTTTCTTTACACTGATTGATACAATGCTGTTTCACACTTACCTTCATTTTGGTAACATCGCTTTCGGGCATTTTTTATAGGTGTTTTTACACAAATGTGCGGCACAAACAAGAATTTTCTCTCAATTGTTAATGCTCAGAGATATGGCAACTCTGACCGCGTATATGTCCATGCTCTTAATAACATCCACTGTTAGCAACAGCAAGCAATGTGCTATCTATGTTAAGTGAGGAGTAATTCTGTAAAGTCTTGTGCTTGAGTGCTGTAAGACGCAGTTCAAGCGCCAAATTTAAAAGTTGATATAGTAAAAACGCTCTTATTAGCTGAATTTTCCTTTTCTTTTTTAAGTTTGCGGGCAAATTTTATTTTGTAACATGAACACATCGTATTTGTTTTTGTCATATTGTCGCTGTCACGCTTCCATAACTACTACGCACCCTTATGCCAGCCATAGTTGCGAGGCGCGTACGCAAGATAAGATATAAAATATAAGTACCGTACAGAAATAGCAAGCAAGCGGCGCACAGCACCACCCGTGCAATCCACACACACACACACATACACGCACACGAGACTGCGATACAACAACAAAAACCCGACCGGAAACGGGAAATGAATGCAATATTATCTTGTCGCCCGCTTCTTGGCCCTTTATATTGAGAGCAAAAAATAGATTTCGTCTGCTTGAAAACGAAAGTACTGAGCTGAGAAAAGTGGTGGGTGCCTGGCGCCTTGGTTCTACACGCAGTTGACCTTGAACAGCACTCAAGCATTGATTTGCATTCGGCTTTTGAAGAAACACCGATCTGCACCTGCCAATGCACTCTCTCTCTCTCTCACAAACATACACACACATGTTGCTCATGTGTTTCGCATAAGTAGCTGTGCCTAATTGGAGTTGCTGCATAAGTTAATTAGAATTTGTTCGGTCTTCTCTTTGTGGAAATTAACCTTTTGCCTATCCGCATTTAAAAAGAGTTTGCTGCCGGTTAAGGCAACGCTCAGTGCAATGATAATTATAATTAATGCCTAATATGCTGACAAACGTGAATTGTGTTTGCGGCTGTTGTAGTTCCATTTGCCATAAATGGGGGTGAGCTTTAATTACAGTTACAACAACACAGCGCACACGCACACGTTGATTAATTGGTCATGACAGCCACATTCACAGTTCACTCTTTACTGGATTACGCAATTAGGGATTTAAGGCGTTAGTTTCTGTTAATGGTAATGTTAGTGTTAATTAAATGTTAAGCATTTGAATAAATTTTTAGCTTATTCTTTACCACTAAATGTAACCATAAAAAAGATTTAATTTATTTTACTTTATTTGTGTTTATACAAATATTAATCTTTTAATGTTGTTTTTTATATATTTCAGGTTAAAATAAAATTCTAAATTCGCCATAATAATTCGTATGAACTAAATTTATATTTATTCATATTGAATTGCGCGACATTTCGAATGAACTTGATATTACTTATGATTCATCACTTGTCACCACCATACTGCAATGAAATTATTACCGAAAATAAATTATAAACGAGCGAACAAATGCAAATTTTAACAGCAACCACTAATATTCCTCGTTATAATAAACGTTTCCAATGTAATGTGATAAACACATTTAGTCCCATATAAATAGAAAGAGTTGAACATAAACGGAAAAATTGCGAAGTGGATTGCAATTGGCCTTATCAGTTCCCGCAGCGTTATTCAAGAGACAATCAGGCGGCGTCGAAAAAAGAGAACTCTCTTTGGACCATTAGGATAAGACGCAAGAAAATACTCAGAGAATTATACTTAAAGTAATTCTCTCTCTACACTCTCAACACTAAATATTGAATTATGGCAACTAGCGCGTTGTTTTTCCAATTGTGTTAAAACTTGATTTCACGATTTTATTTGTTTATTTTATTTAAAAATGCTTAAATACATTTTTCTACCGTCGAAGAATTCTGTTATTAAAACTAAAATCCAAGTTTGCTCCTAATTGGATTTCAAGACGCGTTTTCAAAATTGGCTAAACTAATTTCTTTGTGTGCAGCAGCAGCAGCGCTCTTGCGGCTCTCTGTGGCCTGCTGGATGTTGGTCACACGGGCTAACCGACAGAGACTCGTTCTCAGTTGCGTTATGACTGCCCGAGCGATCGGTTGTTCCAGCTCTCTCCCGTTGTTTGTACTCGTGTGTCTTCGTGCTTTCAAATACTGCGTTCGTGCTGATCAGCAGACGTCATCGCCAGACACGGACGTGTCGCTCGATTGATTTGTTGCAAAAACAACAACAATTTAATATAACAACAACAACAAAAAAGTGAGAATACAAGTAGCAGTGAGCGTTTGAGTCCGTGTATCTATAAGTACGTGCTGGCTGCACTCACCAAATGCAATAATTCTACGCAACTTAAAGTTGCGCAAAAGCGCTAAAAACAAAAATCCCCAATCGAATATTTAATATACATAATATAATAAGTATATTATATACTTTGGTGACCTTGTGCAACTGCGTATCTTAAAGTGTGTGTTGTCTGTGTGTGTGTGTGTGTATCTTTTGTGTAAACATGATTAGCATAATTAGTGAAAAGCATCTTGGCAACCTGTTCACTGCATTCTGTGCTTCTATTTGCTATTCCTTTTTTCGTTCGATTTTCGTTCGATTTTGATTTTATTTTGAATTTTTTGTATCGGGTTTACGTGATCACCTCTTTATCACCTGAGTCACTTATGTATGGCGCTCACGTCGCACGCACACTTACACAAATGCCCGCCCAATGGCTCTGAAATGCCAACCAGCTTTTTGATTATAACTGCGACCCTCTCTCACTCTCATTCTCCCTGTCTCTCTCTCTCTCTCCCGCTCTCTCTATCACTCTATCTCTGTCTATGTACACATATATATCTGTCAGTTTGTCTCTATCGCTCTTTATCTCGCAGTCAGGCTCTCTGAATGTTTAAGGCCCGTTACCATTTTTAGTTAACAACAATTATATTGCTGCATAACCATTAAAGGCCATCAGGCCTGGCTGTATGTGTGTGTGTGTGTGTGTGTGTGTGTGCTATCACAGGAAACCTTCTAGTACGTGACAGCAGAGCACAAGACTTCTGTGATCAATCCACCCCAACCAACCCCCCATCTCAATTAACTGCAAATCAATTTAATGCGACCTATGCCATAAAATGACCTCAATTAATTAAACTAATTGACAGCGTGTGGCGTAGGAAAATCCGTAACCAAATCGCAACAAATTCCCCTATATCAGCTATAACTATATATAAATTTTCATATATAAATATATATATATATATATATATATATAGGATGGCTGTTAGGCAGCTTCATAGGTGCACTTATCGCGCTTTCAAGTTGATTTCTTTGTGTGGCACATTGGAGTAATCGCACACACCTACGTATACAGATATATGTGCCTTATCTAATCTGTTTATTAAATAGGAAAACACATGCGAGAAATCATAAAACAAAATACATGTACATACATTCGCTTAGCAAAAAAAAAAGGTAAAAATAATAATAATAAAAAAAAGTACACTGAATAATAAAAACACTTTTGTTTCGGTTGCCATACGCGGTATATAAGAACAATTGAATTAGAAGACTGACAAAGATTTACTGCTAAAGATGTTAAGTACCATTGATCCCAAAGATTCAATTGGCATAGTAACTGAAACACATACATGTGTCTATTACTTTTCAACAAGTATTTCAATTAAATTAAAATATACAGGAATCTCTCGATTTCGCGAATAATTCCAAATTCTATATATCTTGGTTCGCTGTACAAACAAACAATGATTTCTATTAATATATTATGATTATAAAAATACAAATCAGATACTTATAATCAAGAATAGAGCAGTAAATATTTAAATAGATTTCCCTTAATTTATTACACTTGGGTTTTGATTGTTTTGATTTTGTTGTGTAACCAAAAGCGAACTCAAACAGCTGCAAATGCTCATAATTAAGCGTTGACTCTAATTAGAGTATAAATAAGAAAACGCTCGATTTTGTACATTCAATGAGCGACTTATATGCTTATTTAATAAGGTTTATAAAGAAATACATACATAATTATTATTATGACAGCATCCATAACATCAACGCATTTGAGTGTTTTGTAGAATGTTTACAGAGTGCTGATAAAGGCACAAAGGAGTGGGCAGCAGATGCTCCAGAGTGTCGCGCTCAAAAGAAATATATATATATATATATATATATATATATATATATATATACATATATATGTTAGTTACAACTAAATACATGCACAATAGAGTGCAAGGAAATATTCATAAATTCATATTAAGCAATTTTCCAATGCTGCGCTGAGAGAGAAAGAGATAGCGAGATCGAGAGAGAGAGAGAGAGAGAGTGAAAAAAAGAGTGCAACTAAGGCATTGGCAAAGAGTGTGAATGTGTGGCAAGTGTTCCAAGAATATAGCGACAACAACAGTAGCAGCAGCAACAACAAGGGCGTAACTTGATATGTAAAGTTGACAAGAGGCCAACACAGTTGCAGTCGCAGTTGTAGTCCCCAACCCCCAACCCCCTAAATCAGACCCCAGATCCAGACTCAGTTCCAGTCGCAGCTCCAGTCGCTGCCGGCATCGATAACAAAAGATGAACATTTTATGTATACATTTTTCATATTTTATGAAAGCGCAATTATGTTTAAATAATTTATTATGTGTATTAATTACAATGCCGCCAGCTCTCGTCGGTCTTACAATCTTGATGTCTGCTCTTGATAGACTGCTTCCGTTAAGCATATATGCATATTGCTGATCTAGACTGAAACAGATAGAATAGAATATGGTTGGTCGGGTTAGGATTTTGGTCTTTCCGGTGTGCAAAAATATGGCTACCTGGTGTCTGATCAGTCACACCAAAATAGCAACAATTTTTTTCATCAGTAGTTGCAACACCAACACCGACAACAACAACAACAACTTCAAAAACAGAGCACCAACAAAAACAACCCAAAAATCGAGCAAAAATAAACAAATAAATTGCTTTTGTTTTGCTTTTAATTGATTTTTTTCTCTCTTGTTTCTTGTTCGACGCTTTTTAAATTATTGTAAACAAAAGAAATGTGGGCGCTGTTTTAGTGACTACTTTGCAAATAATTTATTTTGTGTTGCCATCTACATAGAAATGTGTACAAAGTATGTGTGTGAATTAAACAAGAGTCTGCTACTATTTATATAAGCAGCTGATTAAGCAACGTTGCCAAAACATTCTCAATGATCAGTTGTTGCAAGCACTTGAGTGGAAATTTCATTAGTTTTATTCGAAACACTTTTGAATGGATCGGCGTCATTTCATAAAAATGTACATTGATTGTTCACAAAAATGTCGAATTCAAAATTGTTGTGAACAATTAAACACATTTGATATGGATGCCAATTAAATATACTCCCAAGTTTTAGTTATCATCATTATGTTATGATAGTCATAATAATTCCGTTTTAAACTTCTGTGGCAGGAAATGCTCTTAAGATCTCATTTCATGAATCAGAATGAAATTCCAATGTGGAAATAACTCAAATTATTCTACATCCAAAAAATGAAACAACCATTTTTTACTAACATCCCAAAGAATGGATAATTTTTGTTATCAAAATTGTTTAAGTTAATTTTATATATATTTTTTTAACTAGTTGTAAAAGCTCCGCAGAATTTTCGAAAAATAGAAAGAAATATAAGACAAATAAATATAATAAAGTACATTTTTTGCGCAAAGCAAATGATCAAAGATGCGATTTTTCCGTTGTCAAAGCAATTTCTTGACAAAGTGAAGACATGCTAAAAAGAAAACAAAACGGATCTACAAAGAAATAGAGGGAGCACTTAACCCTTGTTAGGGCACCCTGTACAGCAATTAGCCTTAATTGTGTGGGGCGTTGTGGGGTGGGGCGAAATGACAATGAAAGCGAACTCGAAGATCAGCTGTTGGCGCCAAGAATCCACATCAAACGTGCGCTTGCAGTTAAAGTTCAGGGACTTTAGCAGCGCGTGGCATGCAACAGAATATAGACATATATATATATATATTTATGTGTGTATGTGTGTGTCTGAAAGTTGTAAGTTCAACGGAGAGTGCTTAAACGGTGATCAACGCATGTGCATGTGAAAATGTCGATATAACCGGTTTTCCCCTTGTAACCGCAGCCAGTTACCATTTGCTTTGATACGATTGTTATTAATATTTTTATTATTAACATTATGTGGGCTGACCTGATGGTTGTCTTTGGATGAGTCAGATAGTCGTCATCAGCCTCCGTAATCTAGGCACACACTCTCTAAGAATTCGCTGTGCACACACACACACACACACACTCAGTTTGTTTATGATTGTAATGAGAGTTTACCCAGCAAATTGACGGACAATCATATGAGTCATAATATGGAGATTTCCGTTTCCCAGAATTCGTATGAGTTTTCTGCGTATGAATGATCTGCAGACTATGGTAACTGTTAACTGCTAACAGTAAACTGGATGCAAATTAAAAACTGAGAAACTCCATTTTTTGTTTGCGTTTTATTTGTCGTATTGTTTAAGTCTGGACATGAGATGCTGTAGGGAAATCTAGTTCAAGTTTTGGGTCAACAACTCGTTTGGTTGTCGCGCTGGAAACAGAAAACCAGTTTTAATTAAAAAAGAAACATTTATTAAACAAAGTATCGTTTGACTGGTAATGGTGAAAGCCATTTAGCTTTTCAAATGTTGCATCGGTTATATAAGACCAAAGCAACACAACAAATAGCTTCAAAAATGCCTAATGAGCTTCACAGAATCAATTGTAGCATTATTCACACATATATATATTTTTATGATGGCGCTTTTATAAGACTTTTAATTGATTTGTTAATGCCTGGTGTGGCTGCCTCGCTCTAACAAGTGCCTGTAGACTGTGAAAATTAAAATTTTTAAACATTTTGTCAGCCATTTTTCAAACTGTTGATTAGATTAAGAGTTTTGAAGTTCAAGTGGTTAGCGTTGATAACACCGCCTGCAGATATAACAGTTATTGCTGATGTTTGCGAATGTGAGGCAAATGCGCCCACACACACAGACACACAGGCACACGCACACAGAGCAGATTTCCGGTTGCAATGGGATGTGGGTGTGGCCAGATAAACAACGCATGTCGCTTCAACATATGCCACCAAATGGTGCAATCCAACGAACTAAACTGTCACTCACAGACACCCCTACAACAAACATTTCTTATTCACGCCTTGATTTTGAAATGCTTCTTTCTAGTTGGTTTGCACAATGTCGCGAAGTTTGCGCCCTCTTAAAATAACCATCGTTGGCGATGGCATGGTGGGCAAAACCTGCCTTCTGATAACCTACACACAAAACGAATTTCCCGAGGAGTATATACCGACTGTATTCGACAATCACGCCTGCAACATAACCGTCGACGATAGTGAATACAATCTGACACTGTGGGACACGGCCGGTCAGGAGGATTACGAAAGACTGCGACCATTGAGCTATCCAAATGTGAGTATGACTAAAATTCAGAAGATTCCTGTTTTAATATTACACATATCGTCTTTTGATGTTGTTTTGCTTATTTAATCATTTGTTTCCTTTCCTCGTCACAGACGAACTGCTTCATTGTGTGCTATTCCATTAGCAGTCGTACCTCGTTTGAGAACATCAAGAGTAAATGGTGGCCGGAGATACGTCATTTTGGTACCAATGTGCCTGTGGTGCTGGTGGGCACCAAGCTGGATTTGCGTATACCAAATTCCGAGAAATTCGTAACCACACAGGAGGGGCGCAGATTGCGCAAGGAGATCCATGCGCATAATTTGGTCGAGTGTTCCGCCAAGAAGAAGATCAATTTACAGCAGGTGTTCGAGGAGGCGGTGCGTGCGGTGGAGAAGAAACCAGGAAAGAAGCCGCCGACGTGCCAAATTCTGTAATTAAGTCATAGGCTTAGTCTTTAAATATTGTTATTATACTTAATTGTATTATGAAACTATGTAATTGTCTGTTCGCTGGCATTCGATTCCCTAGTGTCACATGGTGTGTGTGTGTGTGTAGAAAATGTAACGTTAAGTTATAGTTTTAAGTTTTAGTTGTGTGAAAAACCCTTTTTGTTTCCGACCAAAGTGCATTTTTTATGTAAAAATCAAAACAAAATATAAGTAAATGATTGTTTGAATTTAAATGGATAAACATACATATATAAATATTTCCGCGAAAACATACTGTGTATTATATATGTATATATGTATATATTATCAAGAAAAACTAGTCATTAAAATCAAATGTGTAAGTATTTTTATTTATAAGGCATCACTCAAATAATCATTTGAATTGCGCTTTTGTTGATTGGGTTTTTAGACAGAGAGTCGCCAACTTGGGGTAAATGAGCTAATTTTATTTTAGTATTTTTTTTTTTGGCTTTTGCAGTCAGACTGGCAATTACCAGTGTTGGACAACTAATCGATGTTTTGAAATATCGATGTTTCGATTCTCACCCATATCGATGTTAATAATGGTGAATTTTTCAAAAATGAATTAAAATTCGAATAGTTTACTTGGAATCATTGTACATTTTAATTTGTAAAGCTATCAATTTCACATTTATTTGTTCATATAGAATATAATAAAACATTTCAAAAGAATAAAAAAGGTCAACGTTTAAAAATAATGAAAAGGTTAGGCATACAATATGTACAATTCACACAATTTATATCATTCATGCAACATTAATAATATTATAATAATATATAATCATTCTGCATTAACATATATCTATATAAACATAATGAATTTAGGATTATGTTTGCGGTTGCTGATAGTATTGTAAAAAAAATGATACATTGACGAATTGACGGAATAAGTGAAACCGCTGCTAACAATATTACGATTCAAAAAGAAATGCCCTTATGTAAAATAAATAATATAAATTATACAAGTGAGTTTTAGCTTTTACATTATGTTCATAAGAATAATTAAACGCTCTGCAACTTACAGAAGAGGTTTATGTTATAAAAATATATGAATTGCGATTGTTAATATTGATGCAAAAATGAACAATATGAAATATATATGAATAATACTCCAGCACCGAATAATTTAATTATATCTTATTACAGTATGCGCACAATGTGATTGAGCACTTAGTTTACACTTTAGGGTGCAGAAATTTGTGCTGGGTCTTTTAAGTTTAGCACAAAATTTACTAAATTTGAGATTTAAGCGTGGAATGACTTTCAAATTAAGTATTAAGTTATTTTAATTTACAACGAAATTTGGCGATTCAGTATTTTTTGTGTGTTATTGTTTTGATATTTTATTTTTTGGGATATGCAGCCACACTGACAATTACCCTACAGCGCTGAAAAGTTATAAACAATGAGCGGCGAAAAGGCTGAAAAAGCCAAAGTCAGCGCACAAGTCAAGCATGTGCCAAAAGATGCCCAGGTTATCATGTCCATACTAAAGGAGCTCAACATCCAGGAGTACGAGCCACGCGTCGTCAATCAAATGCTCGAGTTTACATACCGTTAGTGCAGCAGCGAATGCAACAATACAATATATTTTTTAAACATATTTGTTGCTTTCTCAGGATATGTGACCTGCATACTGGAAGAGGCCAAAGTATACGCAAATCATGCGCGAAAGAAAACCATCGACCTGGAAGATGTTCGCCTGGCCACCGAGGTGACGATGGACAAGAGTTTCACTGGGCCGCCGTCTAGACATGTTTTGGCCAAAATGGCAGATCTGCGCAATGCGATGCCACTGCCTGCCATTAAGCCACACTGCGGTCTGCGGTTGCCACCCGATCGTTACTGCCTGACCGGTGTCAACTACAAACTGCGCGCCACCAATCAGCCTAAAAAGATGACCAAATCGGCGCTGGAGGGGCGCACAGTGAAAACGGTTGTGAAGCCCGTCTCCAGCTCCAATGGGCTGAAACGTGCCCACTCAATAGTGTCCAAGCAACAGGTGGTCACCATACCGAAACCCGTCATCAAATTCACAACCACAACGAAAGCGGTCTCCACCATGGAGGTAAAGAACGAGCCGGGCACCAGCGATATGAAAATGGAGGTGGACAGCGATGCGGCTGCCGTGGGCAGCATTGCCGGCTCTGGCGTGGCTGTGAAGCGTGAACGAGAAGAGGAGGAATTTGAGTTTACAGCGAATTAAGAATACACATATTACACACATAACATAAAAATAATATTTGTAACCCATGGGGCGATTTAGATTTCGGCAAACTCTCAACTTTTGTATTTTCAAACATTTCTGTAATGCGACTACAAATGTGAAATTAAATTTAAAAATGATTTTTAGTTGTTTCACAATGGTATACAAACAAAATGCTGCTTATTTAGTGAGTAGTAATTGAGGTTTTTATTGTACAACAATTTTGATGTGTAAAAAGTAAATCAACAAATTCTGATTGGATTTCTCCGGTATTAAAAAAGGATTGTTAATACAATTGGCACTATTTTGCCTCTGAGAATGTTTAAATGAGTAGGATGAATTTCACTTGAGCGCCAGAATAATCGTGCAACCCAGATCCATGATTTGCAAATATTCAGAGCCGCCGTCCTGCAGTCGATAACAACACTCCTGAAATAAATGGAAGATTAGCTCGTAATTATTGCAATTAGCAGATCTTCTACAGACTTACGCCCAGCTTGTCGCAAATGATGGCCTTCTGCTTGTCTGTCAGGGAACCGCAACGCACAACATACTCCACGAATTGTTCCATCATTTGGCCAACGCTGTAAGCCGAGTAACCAATCTCGCGTACAAAATGCTCCAGGCGCTCATAGTTGCCCGAGCGACACACCTCAAGATAGTCATCAAGATAGTGCTCCGGTATAATGCCCGACATCTCAAGTAGATCGTCTGAGTTAATGGTGTGTTCGGCGCCCTTAAGGCGATAGCATGATTGCAATGTGGTTATGGCACGTCTCATATCGCCGCCAGAGATCTTAACAATCGACTGGTAGGCATCGGGCTCGATGGACACGCTCTCCAAATCGCAAATGTGCTGCAGTCGTGTAATGATCTGGGTCTCGCCCAGCGCCTTGAAGCGAAACTTGGAGCAACGCGACGTGATGGGCACAATAATGCGCGACACATAGTTGCAGATGAGACAGAAACGTGTACTGCGGCTCTCCTTCTCCATGGTGCGTCGCAAAGCCGCTTGTGCGGCATGCGTCATCGAGTCTGCTTCATCCAGCACAATAATCTTAAATGGCGGACACGGCCGACCATCGGGACGCACACTGCTCGCCGTTAGCTGGGCAAAATTCTTGATCTTGGTGCGCACCACATTGATGCCGCGCTCGTCGGAGGCATTCAGCTCCAGGATGCGCTCGCGGTACATATCGCCGAAGATTTGACGTGCCGCCGCCAGAATGGTGCTGGTTTTGCCTGTGCCGGGTGGGCCATAGAGCAGCATATTCGGCAAATCGGCACCCTCAACGCACTTACGTAGCACGGCCACCACCTCCGATTGTTCCACAACATCATCAACGCTTCGCGGGCGGCTAAATGAAAAAAATTGTTATTGAATTAGCACCAGTCGAAATGCGCTTAAGCTTTTAGTGTTGTTTACTATTTTTCCACCCAGGGTGCTGGCGGTTTGCGGCGTTCAGCGGTCGCATTGATTGTCTGTTTGTCCGTGGCGCTGTTGCCAATATTTGCTTTTCCAGGTTTAAAAAACGCTTGCATTTTGTTAAAAACAAATTATTTCAAAAGCTGCAAGAAAAAAATTGGCGCGAATGAAACAGCTGTTAACTCAAAATGGCAACTACAGAGAGCCACTATGTAAAGTGCAACAGTGCTGACGAACTAGAACAACGTACAGCTCTTTAATCACCTTCTGATTGCCGGATATCATTAGGTGAATGTGTGATATTGACAAATTTTATTGATGCTGCGATAAAAATGAGCAAAAATAAAATGCTTACTCAAATTGGTAAAAACAGAATAAGCATGAGCAAGCGTCTCAATCTCTGAATAACAGAGCTGGAACTCTGTTGAGTGCAACAGTGTTGATTAAAATATAAATAAACGAACTAGCTCACTGGACGAGTGTTGATAATCGTTAAATGATGATGTGGAATTTACAAATTAAATTGTTGCTTCAGTTATTCTAACATTTTAAATAATGGACATAACGCAGCTCTTTAAGGCCAGCGTTATGACAGTGCGGCTGCAACGCAAAACGGAACTGGCTGCGGCAACCAAAAGCAAAGCACAGCAGGACAAACAGCAACGCTCATCAACCACCGCAAAATCTGCCGCTGTCAAAAACGACTTTGCCAAGGAGGCAAAGAATGTGTGCAGCAAGATAACGACGCTCCGGAATGTGCTGATTGAGAATCGCACGGCGTACATGCGCATTGGACAGCATCTGAAGAGCGCCACACATATGACGGATGCGCAACGCGATCTGATTGATCGCGAATCGGAAAAGTTCGTCACATATTACACACAACATCTGGCAAAGATGCGCAGCGACTGGAAGACAGCTAAGCGAAAGCCACAGGAGTGTCAGCACATTGCAGCAGTGATCGATTTGCTGGTCAGCTATCTGCACAGCGTGGAGCAGATCTATCTGGACCAAAAGAAGTATCGCGCTCAACACGAACTGGAGACCTACAAACTACTCAAGCTAGCCGCTGACAAGAAGAAGATACCAGTGCGTCCGGCGGGTGTTAGTAGCGGCAAGCTGGTCAAGCGTCAGATCAGCCATGACAGCGCTAATAGCAACGATGAGTTGAGGGCTGTGCCAGAAGAGGAGGAGGGCAACGATTGGAACAACGACAGCTGGGCCGATTGGGATAATGAGCAAGAGGCTGAGGAGCAGCAGGAAGTCGACAGCAACTCAACGACAGCCAAACAATACAAGCCACGCACGAGGAAGCGCAGTCGACCAAAGGTCAGCGCAAGCAGCACAGACTCCTCGGCCAAAGTGGCGCTCGATGAGGATATACAACAGACGGCACAACAGCTGGAGAACGATGAGGATGTCCTAAGTGCCGAGGATGTGCAGTTGTTCGAGGCGGAGAACGTGCACATTTACAATCTGCTACAGGGCGTCTCCGAGGAGCTCGAACAAATCGAAAAGAACGTCGTGGACATTGCACAGCTGCAGGACATCTTTACAGATAAGGTACAACAAATTGAGATTTTGAGATTCACTAAACTAACGCTATTCGCTTCACCAGGTGGAACTGCAACAACACAATATCGATCGCATTGTGAGCGCTGTGGTTGGAACCACGGAGAACGTCAAGGATGCCAACGATCAGATACGACAGGCAACGCAGCGCAATGCCGGCTTACGTGTGTGGTCCTTGTTCTTCTTGCTGGTGATGTCATTCTCATTGCTATTTCTGGACTGGTACTATGATTAAACTGCCTAAACTGTTTGGTGTAAGAAAATGTGAATGTGAAAAACTCATGATTGTTTTTGTTATCGCAATCTATAACATAATTTGTTTATTACATTATTTATATTTAAAATAAAAACAAATTATAAACAATGTCGTAGTTGCTGCTTATTACAAATTAAGTTGAGCTCAGCCTTAACTAAATTCTAAATTATATTCATTAAGGTGTATTTGTAAGGTTTGTTCGAAAAGCTCAAATCAAGACGCCCAAATATTTACCCAAAATACTAAAGGAAATCTAGGATGCTTATCGGTAAATTAATGTTCATCAAAAATGCGCCATAATCGTATTTACCAATGTTGGACGTATCACAATGAATTTTGGGTAAAATATTTGAATTATCTAGTATTCTAAGACTTGTCTTAAATGTAACTTGACATTTTGAGCTGGCTTTTATTTTTATTGTTCTTTCCATTGTCTTGCTGTACTTTCTCGTAGTACAATAACATTCATTCAATGAATAACTCCCTACGACTATTCCTAATTTTGCTAGTTTATTTGAAAGTGTGGCTAGTTTTAACATAATTTGTGTTTGGGTTCGTGTGTGTCTTAGATCTAAATTTGTGCATTGAATGCAGTCTGCAACAGTTTTCATGTTGTGTTGGGTTTTCTCTCTCTGTGTGAATATGGAAGCCATCGCTATGTATAGCAATAGTAATAGGAAGGTGCCGTTCCTGGTTGTTGGTAAATCAAATAATAAAGCTGCGCCAATTGTTATGGCGTATCGACAATCATATCCAAAGATGGCGCTGCCATGCTGCTCTCCACCACCATCTCCACAGAGCCGGGACAGTCCTCTAATCCGCTGTTGCTGCCACTGTTTCCATTGCAGTTGCTCAGCGGCGTCAATGGCAGCAGCGATTCTTCAGTGTTTGATGGATTCTCCGCTTTGCTGCATACGCTACTGGGCATCTTGTCGTTAAGGAACACACCCAGCGGCAGGTGGGTGTTCATATGTACTGCACATAAAAGCAAGTTCAATTAATCAAATGTTATACAAATATCAAATGTATTGCAATCTACTTAATACCGAAAGCTGGTGCACGTGTTATGCATATCATAACGTATTCATTCAATCATGCCAATAATAAATATCTAAGAATACCACTAAAACTAATTAAAACTAGCATCTACTCTACTCTTTTTAGTGTTATAAGACCTAGTTATATTCTTTTTTTTGGCTAGAACTTTACCGCGATAGGTTGTAAAATGTAGAAACGTGCGCGGACAGTAATCGCATTTGTAAAATAGTTCGCTGTTGTGGGTTCGACGATGTTTGCGCAAATCTTTGATGTAGGCGAATGCCTCATCGCATTCTTCGCACTCGAAGCCTCGCACTGTAAAAAGATAATTTTTTGATCGCCTGTAGCTTTGTGGTTGCTCTTATTTTGATTATATTTTTGACATGTGTTGCGTCAACAGCATTTGTTAACAGTGTGACAAATAGTTGATATAGTGCCAAAGGTAAGTAACGAAAACAAACACATTTGAAAGCATTTCTTACCACCAACAACAAAGCACACACAATATTTCTTCAACAGCGATTTAACATTTGGCTCTAACTCTTTTAACAGTGTGTTAACATTGAATGCATTATATCAATTTGGATTCAGTTTTAAAAAGAGGAATTTGATTTATGTTTGATATTCAAGATTAAGGTTACTATGTGGGCGGCTAAGAAGGAGGAAGGTTACCACATCGAGAGCTCAACCAGTTACATTCTGGGGTGTTAACAGTGAATCTCAGATTTTCACCACACCACAAAAAAGTATTGTTTTTCGTGTTTATATGTATGCGATAATAACATGTATTTCTGTTGTGCTTATTGTTGAAAATATGTAAAAGATCAATACAACATTCCGATTACTAATGTTAATAACAGAAAATATCGATACTGCGCTCGATACCTTAACTTAAGAATACATTGAATAAATCTTAGTCTAACCGCCAAACCTAGTGCATCACTTTTTGCCGCTTTAAAAACCCAACACTTGTACTAAATAATAACCCACTAGCAATTATCAAATGTCAAACTAAATACAATACTTATTACTTAGTATTACATGATCGATCGTAACTTAATTTATTGTTAATTGTGCTACTTCACTTATGCCAACCTCCACTTATCTTGTAAATTAAAGTGTTTTCACTCCGATTTACAATGCCAGATAAGCAAGAAATTCACATTACGGTTTTTCAAATTATAAACTAAAATAGTTGTGTGCAATCAAAGCAGCTGTTTTGGGTTAGTTTAAGCAAAATTCTGTCAAGCTTTGTGCTCTGCGTGAATTGCTCGATATTGGCTACGAAAATGCTATTGAAATTACCAAATTTTATTATCGAAGAGGGTTTAATAAAGAAATTTATCGTTGGGAATCTTTTCATCTATCAATTACTTTTATGAAGAAATTTATATACTAATTGTTTTGACTGGCTTTCAACATAACAGCAAACGACAAATGTTTCAGAATCCTAACTGCAAAGCCAGCAAAGCGCTTACGAATAAGGCGCAAAGAGCAATGCAAAAAGCGAGCGCTTTCGTTAAAATAAAACTATACTTTAAAGTTTTAATAGCTGGGATAATATGGTTTTTTTCTATTCTATATTACCTTTCGGGCAAACAATCACAGTAGAGTAAACTGTTAGCACAACAACAAAGATGAATTGATTTGGGTTAGGATTAGTACACAAAAATACAAGCTACACGAATAATAATTATATATATATAAATATATATATATATATATGCATGTGTTTATATTTGTATGTATGTGTATGCAAGTCTAGGTAAATAAATATGTATTTATGTATTTGGTATATGTTATGTACTAGATACTAAAGCTTTGCTAGCATCCAACCGGCACCCGGTTAACCACCGCATCCGCATGCGTGCGAGCACCCAAAAACTTACCACCGTGAAACTTAATGTGCGTCTTCAAGGCGCTCTCCGTACCAAATTGTTTACCACACTCATCGCAGGTGTGCGGCTTGATCAGTTCGTGGACGGTGAACTTGTGCATCGCCAGCTGCTTGAACTCCGGAAAACGGACCCAGCACTCGTTGCACTCATAGGGTCGACCCTTCGGCTCGTGCGATTTCATATGGTTATCCATATCGGTGCGCTTTCGATATCCTCGCTTGCAGATCGAACAGACCCACGGCATCGTCGTCTGCGAATCGTGGGCCAGTTGCTGATGCTTCCGCAGCGCAATAACGTTGGTGAAACGCTTCTCGCAGATGACGCACTGATGGGTGCCACGCAGTTTGCCCAGTTGCAGTGTGGCGCTTGTCTCCATGGTCGACGATGATGGCGATGACGACGGCGATGGCGAGGCGGCAGTGGTTGTTAGCATTGTTGTTGTTGTTGTTGCTACTGTTGCTGCTGCTGTAGCGGCTGCTATTGCTGCCCCCGCTGTTGTCGAACTGTTGACTGTGCAACGTTTGCGGAATTGCCGCAACGTTGCCGTCGTCGAGTCTGGCTCCGATTGCTCCGGTGACGGCAACGTTATATGCGGCGACGGCAGCGATGCAATTGTCGACGGCGGCGTCAGCACCGTGGGCGGTGGTTGCAAAGTGTTCAGCTCCTCGTATGGCTGCACGCTGCATTGAGTGTGGCCACTGGCCGAAGTGCCTGGCGAATAAACAAGTTTATTTTAAATATTGCTTTGTGTGCATCTGTGTGTGAAAGAGAGAAAGGGAGAGTGTGTGGCAACTGCATGTAGTACTTACAGTCCTCGCAGTCCGGGCAGCACAGGATGCGCGTCCTGCGTGGTCTGGATGGGCTTGTCTGTAATTCCAAGGCTACGCATGCGCAGACAACAAAAGATATCGAAACAGACAAAAACAATTGCGAAAGTAATTAGTAATAGCAGCAAAAGGAAGAAACTATTTGTAATAACTATATATAAAGCTAATGAGCTAGTAAGCTAAACCAACTGGAAATTGCTGCAGAAATATAAAATCCAATTGTTTTCGTAATGGGAATGATTTTGTCTAGATTTTCAAATATAACTATAGAATTTCTAATATTTAAAATTATACGAATCTACAGTATATTTAGTATATTGGCTAAAATATATACCCAGTTTCAAATCCTTCTTTTTACATTTAATTTCACTTTATAAAAAGTAAACTAACTCATACTGACTGACTATAAACTATTTTAGTTTCTCAGAAAGGGAGATGGTGTGGAAAAAAGGAGGTTAGAAAGTTAATTTAATTTGCTTTAATTTGATTAGTTCATTTTGTATACAATTTTGAAGAACATAAACAAGTTTAATTAACAATTGATTTGATTACAGTCAGTTCTGCCTAATAGAGAAGCATAGGCCAAGTAAAGGCTGCATAGAAAATATCTAAAAGAAAAATACCCAGAAAAATCGAGTTCGTTTTGTTGCTCAGTTTTATGAACTTGATTATCAGGTCAACTTTTTTGCAAGTTTTTTAATAGAATAGAATTAAACTAGTAAATAGGAATGTAATCTTTGAATAACAACAACAATTTAACTAGTTGCAAACAGCTGATTACTCACCACGCATATGTGCAACTGATTGCTGCTGAAGTGGTTGACGCTGATGTTGTCGCTGCTGCTGCTGCTGTTGCTGTTGCAGATCATTGGTGGTGGCAATCCGCAGTTGAACCTCTTCTAGACGGACACCAGCTGATGCTGTGCCACTCGATGCCGATGCCGATGTCGGCTCCGTGGCGAGTGGCATGTGTAATCGCTGCAAATGCAAATCGAGCGCACGCTGCGAGGGAAACATTTGCGAGCACTGACCACAGTGAAACTGCTGCACAATGTGGCTACTGAGGATGTGCTGGTTGCGCTGGCTGCGACCGGCAAAGGCGAGCGAACAGTGCGGACAGTTGAATGGCGCGACGAAGGGATGCAGCTCAATGATGTGGCGACTATACTCCAGACTGCTCGAGAAGCGCGGTCCATTCTGACAGAAGCGGCACTTTAACATGGGCGGGCGACCACGAGTGGGCGGCGGCACCACTGCTGGTAAGCCTAATACTGTATTTTGTACTTGTTGTGGACGTGGATGTGCTTGTGGTTTTGGATGTGGTTGTGGTTGATGTGAATGTTGCTGCTGCTGCTGTTGATAAGCTTGCATCTCATTGCTGTAGTTAATGTGGAGCGGCGCCTGCTGCGGATTGCTGGCTGAAGCCACTGGCTGCTGCAGCTCCGGCTGCTGTATGAGTATCATAATAGGCTGCTGTTGTTGTGGTTGTTGGTGTTGGTGTTGTTGCTGCTGCTGCTGCTGCTCCAGCACATAGTTATCATTGCTGTCGAGCAAAGCATAAGACTCGATAGGCTGTTGCTGCTGCTGTTGTGTTTGATAGAGATCACTGGCATTAATGTAGTAGGTGGTGGTTGTTGTGGAGGTGGTTGTGTTGCTGTTATTGTTGTTGTTGCTGTTGCTGCTGTCCAGATTATCCAGACTGGGCGTCGTCTTGATCGCCTCCAAGCCGCCCACAGTGGACCATTGCAGTTGTGTTGTTGGTGTCGCCTGCGGCTGCTCTAGTGGTTGCTGTTGCTGCTGTGCAGCCTGTGCCTGCCACAGCGTCTCCTGTGGCGTCATTTGTATGACCTGCAATTTATTGTTATTATTGTTGTTGGCGACAGGAAGTGGTGCTGTTTGATATAGTGCCTCATAGTTGACAGTTTCCTGCTGCAGCTGCAATTGTTGCTGCTGCTGTTGTTGTGTCGACTGCTGTTGCTGCTGCTGTTGTTGTTGTTGTTGTGCTGGCTGCAGCTCATTGAACAGCTGTGTCAGCTCGAGCTGCAGGCTCTGCTGCGCAGCCATCGATTCCGGCGTAGACTCAATATTCTCAAAGCAGGGCATATCATTTTGAAAGCCAATCAGCTCATTACTAAAAGTGCTGCTATCAAAGAGATTTCCCTCCTTCTGCTGTTGCTGCTGCTGCTGCAGTGACTGCAATGGCTGTTGTGCCTCCGCTGGCTGCTCGAAGAGATTGGGCGATGCTGGCGTTGGCGGCGCATAATCGGCGGGCGTGAGGAACTCATCGATGGGCGTGCAGACCGGCGTATAGAGATGCTCATCCTGCATCTCATTGAGAATGCCGTGCAGTGTATTCTCCACATCGTTCATTTCCACCGCCAACTGTTGCTTGGCCTCCGCCAGCTCCTGTCCAGCTGCCTGCGGCTTGAGCGACTTTTCGCAGTGCTTCTCGAATTCAGCCAAAAAATCCATGGAACTGGCATTGGCAGAAGCGCGTGGCTGCTGCTGATGCTGTTGCTGCTGCTCCTCCTCGTGCTGCAGATTAGGTAGTTTCTCCAATGACTCCATATCATCATCATCATCATCATCATCACCGTCACCGCCTCCGTTGGGCTCTGCTTCAATTTGTTTGGTTGCGAGTGCTACAGCAGCATTGAAGCTATCTGCAGTAGCACTCTGGCAAAAATTCTCGCCATTCTCATTGTTATTGACATCGTCCGCTTCCACGGGCTCCTTGAGCTCCCCATCCGGTTTCTTCAACTCGTCGACTAACTCATTTGTCACCGGCTCCGACTCGTTGCATAGTTTACGCTGTAGATCCTCGCCAAGAGCATCTAGCGGTATACTGACTATAAGCTCCGAAGTTTGCTCCGACAATTGATCCGATGTTTGATCCGACATTTGTTCCGACGTTTGTTCCTCATTTGTTAGGCTCACTTCTACCTCGCACTCTGCGGCTGGCACCTCGGGCGTTCCTGACTGCCGTCTCTCTCTCTCCATGTGATCCATGCCGGAAGAGCTTAATTCCTCAAGCTGCACAGGACTCATAAGCGTTGTCTCTACTATTCCATTTACTTCCCCCTCTGCCTTTATCACTTCTTCTGATATGCTTTCCATTTGTTCCATCAACATCTTGTCCTGAGTATCATTGCCCAAAGTGTCTGGCGAACATTTGATTGCCTCATCAGGTTGCAGCTCTTCCTCTGTATTTTCGCTTTGACTTACTGGCGAGCAGACTTGCGGCTCTTCCTGCTGTGCATTTGACTCTGTTTCTGGCATTCCATTCTCTGCTTTCTCAATGATTTTACTCTCCTGCTCATCGACTATGCTTATCTCTGGACTTTCGAGTGTTCTGCTAATGCTGCTGCTGCTGCTGGTCGGCCCCTCATTCGCAGAGCTGTTTGGCATTTGGTCAACTGCCTTCGTTGTCACTGTTGTTTTACTGCTTAGCACCTCTGCGCAGCACAGCTCAACCTTAGCTGCTTCAGTTGCCGCCTTTGCCTTCTTGACAACGCGCCTCGTCCTCTTGACCGGCGCATAGCAGCGTCTGTCCTGTCGCCGCAAAACACGAGTTTTATTTGGCGAGCAGCGTTTTGGTGGGAAACTGCGCTTCACATTTGTTGTTGGCTGTGGGCTAACTATTGTGGAGCTGGAGCCGTTGTCGTTGTCGAAGCCTCGACATATATTCACCGACAGATCACTCAAATCTTCCAACGAATTTGGATCCGCTTCGGCTGCTGTTTTTGCTAAAGCAACCGTTCCATTAGCTGACTCCTGCTCTTTGGGCAGTTCTGGCGTCACAGAGTCCGTTTCACAGAGGGACGTGGACCACGTTTCCGAGATCTGTTTGCGTGCCGCTTTCGTTTTCCATGGCACGTGAATAAGTCTCGCTCTGTAAGGCGATCTCTGTGGCGTTCGCTGCTTCGTCTCACTCAGTCGACAGGCACTGGTCGTTTTTGTGGCTCCCGCTTCCGTTTCAGTCTCAACTTTACTGGCTGGCAAGGAGGCAGTGCGTATATTGCGCACTCGCAACTGCATACGCCGCAGCTTGGGCGACGTCAGCAGCTGTGTGGCATCAGTCTTGGTATATTTTGGCAGCGACGATGATTCCGTGTTTGGCACCAGGCGACGCTTCCGCTCCATTTGTGACAGTGGCAGATGCATGTAATCTGCCGCGGACGTCTCATTTGCCTGTGACTGTTGTGTGCGCTCCTCCTCCCTCTGTGACTTGTGCTCGATCATGTCCTGGACGTAGTCGTGTAGTCGCTGCTGGACGCGCACACATCGCCGCCGAAATTTCGCAACCATTATGAATTGAGCCTTGCACTGACGACAAATCTCCTGAGGCAGACCATCGTCACGTGAGATCTGCAAAGATAAATACGTAAATGAGTATAACTTGTATACCTACAAAATAGAGCTGTTACCACCTACTTGATTAACATATTTATGTTAAGTGCTTGCACAAATGTTACGTTTTATCTGTTAAAGTTAATTTAACAGCCTGCCGTTAACAGCTCTTTAGCATATTAACCAGTGTTACCAATTCAGCTGCATCAAAACCGTATCAAAAGTTTGAAGTTTTTCAATTTAGTAAATGTAAAACTGTCTCTTTTGATATTAATGCGATAATCGCATTAGTTAGTCACAGCTCTTTAACTTCAAAAAATGTGAAAAGAGCAAAGTAAAAAAATGTATATTTATATTTAAATATAATTCACAGTTTTCATGTTGACTTAATCCAAGTGTAGCCGCTTATCATTCTGTCGCTTTTGTCGTGTGATTTTTATTTTCGTTTTTAAAAGTGTTATGCATTATATTATTGACATTGAAAATGCTTAAGACGCATTGCAAATTTTTCTTTATTTTGTTTTTTTTTTATTGGAGCACAAGCAATATTATATTGATAATACTATTGTCTCTGTACACCATAAATAATTAGTTTATGGCCTGTTAAGCAGACGTAGCCACTGCAAGTGTGAGGAAAGCAGCGAGGCAATATTGTTCGCCTGGCCAGTCAAGTGGCAACAACTTTGTTGTAGGCACTTGCAGCCGCCTAATGTTGTGATTTGGAGCAAATAATTTGTCTTTGTTATCCAAATGAACGATTTCATTAGATAGCAGGTAGTAGGGCAAAAGCAATAATAATAATAATAATAGAAATAGAAATAGCCTCAACATACAACTAACTAACAAAATAGCCACCAATTTAGTATTGTCTAGCGTGGCAATGACTGCGAATGATCCTGAGACGGTATTAAAAAGAACAGACAAGGCAAAAACAATCATTAATTTTTAAAAAGTTTAGTGTTCAATTAATGTGGGAAGGAAACGGAATTGGACTCTATCTTTGACACTGCTAACGAGTGTTGGTTCAAGATCTTGCCATTGAATGATAATCACTTGTCATCGCGCTTATAGATGCTCGGCGAGGGCAGCTACAGGGTCTAGGTGAAAGGAAAGCATCACAAAAATAAAAAATAAAATAAAAAACGGGGCAGATCAGAGATAAAGATTGCGAGAATTTTGATTGGAGTTCAGCTTCAAATGTAAAAAATAAATAAATAAATAAAAATGCAAAATAAAGACGCAGCCGCTGAGGCCAAAGAAATACGCGTAACGAAAATGATTCGATTCGAAAATGCGAGCAACGTGATTTGTATACAGATAAGGGCATATGAATTGTATTGGCGCTGTCCGATATATGTATGGAACCATATGGTAATTGGCTACAAGTACATAAATTGGTATACAACAACAGATACAAATACAACTGTGGGATCGTAATTTATGCTGAGGTGGACAATAATAAAAGAGACGGAAACTCGTCATTGCGAATGCATGAAAAATCGTCGAATCTGCATGGCCAATGAGTCCCCGAGAGTGCCAGACAGAGATGGAGATGAAAGCAACGACAGAGACAAAAAGCAGATGTACGATGACGACGACGATGACGCCGAGGAAGTGATAGAGACTCTGTCAAGTGTAAATTACGATGAAATCGAAATAAAGACATAAAAAACAACAAAACAAATTAAGTAGCGGCTGATCAAAAACGATCGTTTGCCCCTAGCTATGTAAAAATAGATGCACAGAGAGTGTTTGCACCGAATACTTTTTAATATGCATTGAACCGAAGAAACCCCCTCGACACGCATCCAACACAAATAACAACTCAACGATTTGAATACAAGTTGAATACGAAGCAATGAAAGAACCAAAGCAACGAACAGAACGAGAGATTACCGCTGAGCAGAATCTGATTTCTTGTTGGATTTACTTATTTTTCTCAACTGCATCCATGACGTATGTTGTGAAAATATATCTGACATCTTTTATATAGTATATACATATATCTGACATCTCCTATAGAGTATATGCATAACTTCATATTAAAATTCTTTATTATCACCCACACTGATACCCTCACTCAATACTCATTCATGATCTGAATATGTTGTGAAAATATTATTTAAAAATATTCTTTATCAATAACGGAACGATCTGAATCGGTAAAAGATGTCAGAGATTAGATGTAGTAATAAGTTTATATATTTATATATTGTAAGTACTATCAACATACCAAATAAAGCTTGGGTTTGAACTAGCTTATTATAAACATTTACACAAATATACATATATAAATATGTATTTAACTGCACCTTAATTAGCGACATTTACTGAAAATGAAACACAGATGCAATCTTCAATTTGCAAGTAGCGTGTGTAATCAACAAAATCGAAAATAAAATTACAAAATTATTGACAATAGAGATCTTTGTCGTATAATAATTGTTAATTGAGCTAGGTAAAGTCCAGAGAAAACTAATGACTGCTCTGGTATGTAAATTAAATCTATAAAAAGTGACTTTTTGCTTGTTATCTGAAGTCTGATAGAAAGAAATATAAAATCAAGATATTAATCGAAAACAACTTGCAAATGAGCTGAAAGCCAACAATGGCATTATAACGAAATTACGAGATCGTTTTGAAATATGCATAATATATGCCACATTTAAAGTTTGCCACAAACTGTTACGTAAATCATGCTAAACTAAAAATATGAATCGGAAATTAATGAAACCAAAGTTATATACAACAATATAATGGGTAAAAGTTGATGGGAAATTATACTTACAAGCGGAAATTAAACACTGACAAAATTGGTTTAAAAGATTAATATATTTTATTTACATTTTTTGACAGACTTCGCAATATAGAATTATAGTTATGACTGCATTTGAAATTGTACTCAAACTCGAACTTTAGTATATAGTTTCCCTATTGATTTAAATGCTCGATCGATCATTCAACACATTGTAAGCTCGAGTTCAAAAGCCCCATTAAATAGTTAAGTGCCCCCCATTATAAGTTTTGAGCAGGTCAAAAGATCTTGTAAGCTCGATGTAAGTTTTTAGCATAACACGTTTTTGTATTAATTGAGATCAACGAGGTGATTAAAATTAACATCCGAAACTAATAATTAAGAGAAAACATAAGACATTTGCTTAGCTTTCTTTACATTTTCATTAGGCTCCTTTAAAGATTTACAACTTCTCTCTTCTCTCTTTCAGTTCAAGCAAAACGAGCTGCATAATGAAAATTGGCTACAATGAAAAACAAATTTGCTGTCCAAAATCGACCGGATCCGGGTGCCAGAAGGTTAAACCAAAATTAATAACTGAAATTTTAGTTGGGAAGCAACACCGACAATTGGCCATAAATATAAAGATAGGGTGGCATGAAAGAGATAAAGCTAGTAGCGCGCATATAGTGGATATAAACGTCGTGTATACAGATAATAAATCGCTTGTACGCAAACATAAATTTACATTTTTGATGATAATTCTCCGTCGCAAGAGCCCGAATGCCGCCCAGAATCCAGAATCCAGAATCCGAAAAAGGAAAACAAGGAAGAGCGTATTTCCAACCCCAGCAGCGAGCCGGCAAATGAAAGTGGCAACATAAGTCAACACAGCTCAAGAAGTGCTACTCGACAAGTCGGATTTCGGCGAGGGGTTGACAATGTAAATGTTTAACTAATTAACAGCTGTACAAAAGGGGCGGTTTGGGTGTTGTTCTTTTTTTTGTTGAGTGGAGGCTTTTCATGTGCTGTGAGAATGTAAATTTGTGTTCAATTCATTTTTTTAGCACAAGTTGGCGAGACTCTAATGTAGCCATAAACCAAAAACAGCCACAGCAGAAATCGCAGACATCAAATTGTAATCAAATTGCACACGCCCCAAAAACACAAAAGAGGCGACGTGGAAAAGAGACAGAGCATCATTTAATAAATCATAGCTAATAAAAGCGTGAAGAGGAGATGAGGGCGTGCGCGGGCGGACAACAAATTAGGCAGCTTTTATACCACATACCCAAATCATTCTGCACTCACTCCATCCCCTCCCTCCACCTACCGCACTACCACTCACTCAAAACGAATTTCATGAAGGGCAACGTTGAATGGTTAGCTCTTTGCCAGCCAACCAAAGCCAACGATGAGGAGAGCGATGGGCGGAAAGAGTCCGAGCATCGAGAATGCGTTCGTCTGCGCATCGGATTTCAGTTTGGATTCGGATTGGGATTTCGGGTTCGCTCGAATTCGCAACGCCTTTTCGCAGTTAATGAAACAAACACAAAAGCCAAAATAAACGACAATCCACTTGTGGAACTTGTTGGCTTTGACAATTTTCGACTTAATTGCAGCAGAATGAAGGACAGCCGGACAGACAGACAGACAGAAGGAGGCACGCACGCAAAATGCGATGGACGATGGAGGAGAGCACAGCTGGTCAAAAACGCCAAGGAGATAAACAACAAAAAGGATACTGCTCTCTCGCTCTTACGCATTACCTGCTTCTCTGTTTCTCTGCTTCTCTCCGTTGTGGAGTTTGCGTGCTAATAGGCGGAGCAATAAATGCCAAAGCGGCACCACAACAGAGATGGGAGAGGGGGGAACGCCATAACACAAAACAGGCCATCCGAGCAGACAGCAGGAGGGGGTTTGTGTGCGGATGCGCTACACTTAATCGCATGGAGCATATCTAATGGGATTGGGTCAATTGCAGCAGCAACAACTAATTAAATGTGAGTCACATTGAAAGGGATTTCAGTTGCAGCTGAAACTAACAAAACAACCAAAATTGGACAAATTAAATGAGTAAACTTGAAATAAAGCCACATGTAATTTAATTCAAAAAAATATATAGCATCGTATAAAACGCATTAAGCACGCATCACTTTGAAACTAAAGTCGTAAATAAATAAAATAGAAAAACTAAAGTGACTAACTCTATAAACAAAAGGCATTAGCGAGCCAAATAAACAAAGTAGATAATAATAATAATAAAAAAAGTGCAGATCTTAAA